AAAAAAAAAAAAAAAACAATAATAATAATGTAACACCACATCATAAATGGGTTTTCGAATATGAGAAAACAAATTGTGACACTTTGCATCAGGTATGGCAACTGATCAACTGGGGGGAAGTTAGGGATATCGTACTAAGAAGAGAAGGCTGCAATGTCTGGGTCTTGTTGAAAGTGGAGTATGTCTTGTTCATTCAAATTCACCCATGCTTCAATGCCTTCCCCACATTTGGTGTCCATCAGGAATACTATTTCTGCAGGAAAGCTTGCTAGACTTACCCAATCTGGCTTCCCCCATCCGAAATCAGCTTCATAAAGTGGAAACCTGCACAAGTTGCTAAAACATCTCACATCAACCTCGCTGTTGCATAATCCTCCCAGGTATTCGGTGTGGATGTTTTGCAACATCAACATAATCTCATTACCATTCAGGACAAATAGTTTCACTAACTTAGCAATGGCATCTCTTGTTTCATCTCGTACCAAACCGACCAAGTCATGAAGCTCCATCTTGTTATTGTCTGCTGAGGATCGAGCAATGGCAGCCAACAAAAAGTTTCCCAATGTAATCTCTGGCAATGGTGGGACTGTTCTCCCCCTCATGTTCACAGTTTGGATTAGCAATGAATCCCTTAGGCGCCCATGTTTTGCTCGTGCTGCACTTATAAGGGCCTTCCATCTCACTCCTGTCATCACCTCCACACGTGTTGGTTGGCATTCCATACCATTAGTTTGGATCTGAGCTATTGTTTGAGCATTAGCTTTCAGCTTTGTTATTGCTTCACCGTTAAACACAAACCTCCTCGTGACAACATTGATTTCTGGGTTGAGGAGGGCTAGAGAAATCTCTTGACCTGTACTTGGTGGAAAGAGAGAACCCAAATCGAAATATGGTTGATGAGTGGCCACCACCTCTGCTTGACTTGAACTTTCCCATGCAGTAATAAAAGATGCAACTGTAGATGCATCAGTAATCTTGTGTGACAAGTAGATGCCAATGGCCAATCCGTCGCAATTGAAGCTGTTGATCTGGATTGCTAGTAAAGGACTAGTGACAAGATCAAGTATAACTATCTGTATATCAGATGGAAGGAGATGATTTAGCAGCTCAATTTTGGGTTCTATGAGGAATTCATCAAGCTTACAGTCCACTTGGGCTTCCAAATATTCCACCCCTTCATCATTACACTAAATCGAGAGATTATCAGTATTAAATCTCCCAGCCAGTGGGTAAAATGTGGTTAAGGCCTTCGATAATGATCTCTCCAAATGGGCACGTCTTTGGGCGTTTTCACCTATGTCGCCATTGGCGGAGTAGTGGAGAACTAGGGGGTTGTATAATGGAGGAGCCAACTGATCAAACACGGATATCTTCTTTTGGCGAAGGTGATGTGGACTTGGAACGGATGGCTTGATCAACTTCCTTGATAGGATTTCTACCTTCATTGTACCTTGCTTTTCAAGAATATAACTTCAAAACTTTCCCCAGTAACTTCAACCTGTAAATCTTCTTTTCGAGAATGTGGGGGATTGTATTATAAATGTGATAGTGGAAGAAGAATATGCAGAAGATTGAACGCAGACTTTGCATTTATACACGAGCTTTTTACCAAACCCTGGTGGTTTTTCCCACTTGACTAATTCTATATTTCCCATTGTGCAGAAACGTGGCCAACTTTAATGAACACAAGTTTTTTTTTTGAATAGAAAAATGAACACAAGTTGATTCCCACAGTGATTTGTTGTCACTAGTTGACTTCATGACAATCAGATCATTATTCAAGGTAATGATATGGTTTTATTATAGTCGTTGGAAGAGGTGGCTGAAATTTTGCTTATCTTATTACACTGCATATACGTAGCTTATGTACAAAGGGACAGGCAAATGAAATAAACAATTAAATTCGATAACTGGTGGGATTGGTGAAAACAAATCCCTTGATTGTTGGGATTGAAATAATATAAGGAAATAAAAAATTCTGCAGAATGTGATGTCCAGTGAATTTCCAATGTGTCAATGTTATGTGCAAATTTTTAATATACTTTTATGCAATAGTAGAAGTAATTATTAGGAAGTTATTTTAGTAAGTGGGTTAGTGATAAAATATTTGTGAATAGTTTTTTAGGTGGTTATCTAGGTAATAGGGTAAATGATAGGGGTGTCAATTTTATCTGTTAACACAAACTCGATACGAACCCAACCCGACCTGACACAACTCGAAAATAACACGAATAATAAATTGGTCAAATTAATGTTCGACACGAATAACATGATTAATGAGTACTGTAGATAAAAAATAATTATTTAACAGGTATTGTAGATAGAAAATAAAAATTTTATAATTTTTTAAATAGTATTATATGAGTTGTTGTTGAATTAAATAATTTTTTATTAATACAAATATTGACACGAACCCAACATGTACTGAAAGTGACATGACACAAAAATAACACGACGGAAAGTGACACGACACAAAAATGACACAACATGACACGATTGACACTCCTAATAAATGAGGTGTGTTGGTTATCTATATAGTTATTTTCAGCAGTTAAAGACATCATTATTAATGAAATGAGTATGATGAATGTGAGATAAACTTTCTTGTAAAAGGTTTGGAGGGCTAGTTTTACTCAAAGTGAACAAAGGGAGATTTCCTCTTCCCTGGAAGCAAATTTCTTTTCCACAATTGTATTTTTTATTTAATTTTTAAATTCCTCAAATTGTGAACGTAGCAGGCTGTCTATTAGATTTCCATGAAATTCTTGTATTTTTACCTACGTAGTTACTACCACAGGATTGGTGGTCCAATGGCGTTGTGTACTCTCTTGGGAGAGAAGATTTTCATGTTGGTCGTCCCATCGCCATCTTTTTTTTGTTCCCCAAAAATACCTGGATACTCATTTTCAATTTCAACAAAAATGTAGGCAACGATACGAACCGCAAAAAGATCACCCTTAGTACGCAAAGTTTTGTCTGTCTCGAGTATGGTTCAAGGTTGTGCTGTCGACTATTGATTTGGATCGGTTACAGCGTTGTGTTGCGATATCAGATGATACAACTTAAAAGAAAACGATAAATATGACAAGAGATTCAGATCATATTGTGACATCAGAAAATCGTATTAGCCGATTTAATAATGATAACTCAACGATTCGAAATTAACTCGGATGACTCAAGATTTATATGTATTATATAACGGTATCATCTCAAAAAGTGCCGAATCAAATATGAGTTAGCTAACTTATGTTGATATCAATTGATACTTTGAACCATGATATTGAGGAACACACTCATGCACGAACACAAGTGAGTATAAAGTACCAATACTTGAAATAAATAATGCGTCGAAAACCTTGTAAAACAATAATGAGTGTGCTCATATTGGTAGTGAGGATTGAATGGATGGCCAAAAATTGGTAAAGCTTCTCCGCTCATTGAGATAAAGTTGTCTACGTTCGATTCTCTTTAACCCTTACAGTGATTTATTTCATTTATCTATTTTTTTAACATCGTATTAAACTTTTAATTTTTTTTTAAGAATGGAGGTTATATGTGGAACGTGAAATTCAACCTGTAAATCCAATTCTTTCAATGTTTGATAGTACTTATAGTCAATTTAAAACATACAGTGAATTAGGTCAATAAATTATGTTTAACGGTATTACTTCTCTTCATTTGAGCTTTCAAGTATGCAACCTCTTCGTCATTACAATCAAACCGAGAGTTTCATTTTTATGAAATTGAGACGGATCATTTTTTTTTTTTGATTGAATGTTTGAAATTTACATGTTTAAAAATGTTTCAGAAGGGTTAATGGTGCTTCGACTTGTACTTCTAAATATTTTATAAATAAACTAGTCATTACCTGTGCCAGAAGGTTCTTTTAACACAAAAAAATTGCTAAGGAAATGGGGCATCCAATAATGTATTAAATAAAAGTAGTAATGATATGGTTTTATTATAGTCCATAGTGGAGGTTAAGTGCATTTTTAAATAAGCATGGAGGTTAAGGCCACTTGTCCCTCTCACTTTTCGATCACTTTAAATAAGCTACCTTGATTTTATATTTAATTTACCACATTTGCCCCCTCTAAATTTTTAATAATTTGTATAATGGTCTTAGTTTTTTTCTTTAATTTAAGTAAATTAGTATTGTCCCCTAAAGTGAGTGTTTTATTTTTATTTTTGGGTTGAATAAACCAAGTGTAAAATATGATGATTTATTTATATATTGACCAAATATAATACTTTCTCCTCTATTCAACACACAGTTCCTCATTTTTAAGAAAAAATTTATAGTTTTTATTTACTATTTTTTGGCAAGTTTTTAGTCTATTACACAATTAGATGTAATTTGCAAAATATTAAAACCCAAAAGCGTTTTAGGTTATTTTATACAATAAATTTTCAACAAGATCTAGGTGAGAAATTTATTTTATAATTAACCAGTTGTAATTTTTTTTTTTAGAATTTTGAAAATGCATGTTCCACTTTGATACAAGATTGGGTTGAAATGTGTTAAAAAAAGTTTTTCTTTTTTGGTTTTTTTACTTAGATTTTGTTTAGACTAAACAAAAACTAGTTTTAATGTTTCATTTAAAAATTTTGAGGCTAGTTGATAACACTACTTAAGATTTAAAACTGAATACTTCTCGACTGTTAAATTGTGGAGGTGGTTTTGTGTGGTGTGGTTATGGGGTTTGGCAGGGCTGTGGCGTTGGAGGAGAGGAGAGGACTATGTGGGTCGAAGATGAGGCTCCAAAGAGGAGGCTAAACTGGGGTTTCGAGAAGTATACATATTCGATTGGGTTAATTACACTTTGTCCCTTGAAACTGTTAGCCTTATGTCACTTTGCTCTCTTAATTATTACCCAAAACACAAACGTTTTCTAAGGCAAAGTGAAACAAAATAACAAAACTCCAAAATAATATGACCGATTGACACGAATAATAAATAAATTTAATTAAAGGTAAACATGAAAAACATGATTATTTAGTAACATAATCACAAAATAATTATTTTATAATAATTACATGAAAGTGTTTATGTATTACATGCTGGGGAGTTATGAATTTTTGTGGGGTTAACTTATAAACTTGATAACTTATTAGTGGACAATTACACCGCAATACTACCAACATAGTAAGTGTAAATTTGTTACACCCAAGATTTTCTCGTACACTAATATAGCAAAATTCAAAACCCTGCAACTTTGCAACCAACACCAAAGATTTCTATAGGAAATCCTTAACTCTAAGCCAAATCCTTCGTCAATTTCTATGTGAAACCCTAACCCAATTCAACCTCTAATGGATTTCTATGTGAAACCCTAACCCAAATCAAGAGAAAGAGATTAGGGTTCTATGATTTATACTTTGTTTAGTAGGAGTGAAAATTGGAACCAATGGATCTTTGGTCCAATTGTACTATTTACTTTGTAAATGTTTTGTCTTTTTGAAGTCAAGTGTTCAAGTATCCGCTCCCTCCCAAAAAAAAAATATGAAGGGTGCAAAATGGAGAATGGAAAATGGGAGGGAATGAAAGAATTTCCGCTGTTTGGTTTGAATGGAAAATAGGAGGGAATGGAAAGCGGGTAGAATTCATTTCCCCAGCGCAAAAGTTGATTATTTTTGGGCGGATTGAAAAAGTAGAGGCAAGATGGCAGATTAATCAATTGATTATTTTGCCCTTTTTGGTAGACAATAACCCATTCACTTTCAAAAACAATTTGACACTTCATAAGGATAAAGAGGAGTCTGCCATCTCAGCCTCAATTCTTCTCGGCAATTTCTTCACCCTTACAGGTAGGTTCCCCCAACTTCTTCCAATTTCTTGGGTCAATTTGGTTCCTTTTATTTTCATGGTTGTATATACACATTTTCATGAAGTTGTTGTATATATAGCTTTCCATCCATGAGCTTCTCCAAAACCATTTTCTTTTCCTTTAACTTTTGATTTTCAACCTCAATCAAGGAATTTGGAGGAAAAAATTGATCGAGAGAGAGAGGAATTTTAAAAAATGTGTTATTGACTCTGCTAAAATACACTTTTTTTGGCTACGTTTATGAAATCCCAAATCGTTCTTAGGCATAGAGGCGTACTACTTGGTGTGAGGAGCTTATATATTTGATGGATATTTATAGAAGAAGGTGCTAGGAAAGTTTATCTTCCTACAAAATTAGATTTCGTCAAATTAAAGGACAATAGTTTTTAATTTCTTACCATTCTAAGTCTTCTTTTATACATTCATATAAGCTCACACCGGTACGCCCTTTGTGAGGGTATAATGGTAAATTTGATTAAATATTTTTCCTTTCCATCTAATTTACAATGCAATACCAAACAAAGGAAAATGTATCCCTCTAATTTTTCATCCATCATGCCAAACATAAATAAGGGAAAGTATATTCCTTCCCTTAAAGGATTATCAAGATTTGTAGT